CAGCCCCACAAAACGCAGAACTCTGTAACTTCATGTCTAGTCAAAAATGAGTTCATCCAAAGTGAAAAGATGCATAACACACTCAAATGGCCGATGTACAAAAGCTTTTTTTATTTTCAAAATAACGTTTCGGCAAAAAAAAGCCTTCATCAGATATTTTTCTTGCTTTGGACCACAGCAAACAAAATGGTTGCCAGCCCAGGTGCCCATTACCCCTCCAACGAATGGGAGGTCCCAAAGTGAGTTCCCCCCACTCTACAACTGTGGTCCAAAGCAAGAAAAATATCTGATGAAGGACTTTTTTTGCCAAAGCGTTGTTTTGAAGATAAAAAAAAAAGCTTTTGGACATCGGCCATCTCAGTGTGCTACGCATTTTTTCACTTTTGTCTTGCTGCTCCTTGCATTTGCAGCTCTACAAGAATTTTGGTTTGCGCTTTCTGTTTCTTTTGATTCATGAATGAGTTCATTTCATTTTGGTGTGTTTGTGTTTTTGTATTTGAGACTTTCTTTATCATGTGAATAAATATCATGAAAAATATTAAGCTTAAAATTGACCTTTGACTCTTATTTGTCAGTTCCTGTTCTCTGCCTTTGTATCATGAGCCAAAAATAAGGAGTCGTGTATGTTTTGTTTGTGTTTTACTTAATAAATATATTTTATTTTAAAGTCCAACCTCTCACTTCCTTCTCTTAACACTTTATTTGTATTCAATTATACTTAAATTATCTTTAATGTGAAAGTATTTTGTGTATTTATTCACACTCGACAAACTATACCGCAAAGTAACTCGTCTGTCAAACTGTTTAACTGTGTGAGTGTCGCCGCACGATCCTGATCAACACTAAACTGGAAATCCAAAGCTCTTCTGTATCATTTCATACAAACTCCATGATGACTCGAGCTTGGTGAGGTGTTTTTCTTATAATGGATGGAAGTCTGGGGAAAATCAAGCAAATAATAATGATCACGTCAGTTTTCCATTTGCACAACTCCTTATTTTTGGCTCATGATAAAAAGGCAGGGCACAGGAACTGACAAATAATGGTCAAAGGTCAATTTTTAGCTCAGTATTTTTCGCAAACAAATATTTCTTCATTATAGCAACTAGTTTTGGGAGCCCTACCTATTATACTTTTGTCTGGACAAAACAGAAACTTTGAATTTTTCTTAGTTTCACAGTCTGGCGAGTTAAGGTCTTACAAGGGAAATACAACTATCAAAAAGGTCAGATTTTGTGGCGATTTTTACCTTTTTTCAGATCGTAAAGTTTTTCTCAGCTCAAAATCCTTCAGTCATCTTAAAAAACAGCTTTTTAATCATTAGCTCTGGCTCCAGTCTAGTTACTTTTGGCTTGATTGGTCAAATGGGTCACTACTGCGCATGTTCAATGGGCCAGAGAGACACAAGAAATACCTAGAAGAAAAAAAGGTTAATCTAAAGACGTTCCCCGTTGAGCTCGACCCACTGACTTGAATGGGCGGCCGCTATAACTGCTGGCCTCCATTGGCTTCATTTGGCTGTAACTGAAAGATTATGGATGTCACACTCCCTCAGTCCACTTCTATAAACAATCTATAGTTGTATGTAAAGAAAGAAAAAAAAAAAGGAAAAAAAAGAAAATGCAAATTGGAGCCCATAGACTTGTACAAAATATAAAGTCCTGCAAACAAAAAGTAGGTCAAAATAATGTTTAAAGTAGTAGTATTGATTTCACTTTTAATATACTAAAGGCGCTGTACCTACAAGCATGCTGCAATTAACATGCTAACCACGTATTTCCTGATTAATAGACAATAGAACACTTCATAATTAGATGCAGACAGAACACAGTTTACTTATTTTGACCCCAGGAGCTGATTATACAGTAGAAGCTGTACTGGGGCAAGACATGTTTTGCTCAAATACATGGAAAATAATCAGGTACAGCACCTTTAATATCAATATATGTTTTGCTGAAAGGTGGTTTAATAGTTTGAAGATAGAAATTTTGCATTAAATCCTTGGATTTTAAAGTTGCGTTCTAAGGATACAAGACAATTCAATACTTACGCTTTTTATATTTTTCGGACTATAAGTTGCACTTTTTTTCATGATTTGGGTGTTTCCTGTGACTTATACTCCTAGTCTTGTGTGTCAGTATCTGCTGTTCCTCCTGTACCACTGTCACTTGGCTCTACTGCGCATGTCTCCTGCAGAAAGAGCCTCTGTCCTGCTGCAAGTAGTGAAGTATTCAGCCGAAAATGGTCATCGAGCAGCAGAAAGAAAGTTTGGAGTGAGCGAGAAACTTGTGAGGGACTGGCGGAAAGCGGGGATGGAGAGCACAGCTTCACGGCAAACGGGACAGACAACAATGCGACTTTCCTGGAAGTGTGAAGAATCCCTCAGTCGTCCAGGTAGAATCCATGGCGAGGAGACAAAAGTTGACTGGACAAAAGTTAGTTTGGTTGAAGACGTTTCGCAGGTCAACCAAGCTGCGAAACGTCTTCAACTTCTGGAACTGAAGAAGCAGCTTGGTTGAGCTGCGAAACATCTTCAACCAAACTAACTTTTGCCCAGTCGACAAACTGAATTTTCTCCTCACCAACTTTCCTGAAGTCACTGGATGGATGGACAAAGCCTGGACTTCAGTGACACAGAAACCATCCTGTCGGGATTCAGAAAGACCCGAATAATTCTAACTGGAACTGATGCTGAGTCTGACGACAGCGACACAGAAGAGGAAGCGGCGCTCTGTTTACCTCCGGAGGTCGTGGAGTTGCTCAGAAGTGACACCGAGGATGAAGAATTGAATGGATTTAGTGATTTGGAGTGAGATGGAGAGTTTGTTAAACTTGTTCTGTTCTGTTGTTTATGTTATAGTTTATCTGAAGAACTGTTCATATGTGACGTTAACAGTCTGTTGTTCTCTCTTCTATTGTTTTTACTAGAACTTGACTTTCAAGATGAAATGTCGGTTCCTGGTCTCTGATTTTATAAACTAAATTTCCCCCAAAAAGTGCGACTTATATATGCTTTTTTCTTCTTCATTAAGCATTTTTTGGTTTGTGTGACTTATAGTCCGAAAAATACGGTAATCTATTTTTGACACCTAAAATTTTATAATCATTGAAGCTATAAAGAGGGAGATAGTATGCAGAATTGATCAAAAATGTGTGAATGAAACAAAAACTAGTCCAGGCATGTTTTCTGTATAGCTTATAATATGGATTTAAAACCAGGTATTTGTATTGGTCCCATGTTCTTACAGTGTGGAACAAAATGCACTTTCAGACTAACTCTATTGTCTATTTGTTTTGGGGCAGCCTTCTAACTTTCCAACACCTTCTTTCCTTTTGGACAATTCAACCCAAATCGACATAAAAACATTGAACAACAAATTTCTGAAGGCAGATTCCTAAGACAATTAAAAACGCACAATCTCTAGATATAAGGCTGGAACCAGGAGCCGTTTCAGCGACGCTGGCCACGTTAACTGTCACAAATGTTGTGAATAAATGCTTAGAATGGCAAAGAAAAGACACATGCCATTTTTGGTAATGTAATACAGAGCCTCTATAGATTTACTATTACACAGAAGTTGTTCAGTGACAGTTTAAAAGGCAACACTTGAAAAGAAAATGTTCAAAATGTATATATAGGTCCCTTTCATTCGCATTCTCCGCTAAACAAAGTCCCGGAGTCTATAGTTTGATTGTCTTTCACCAAAAAATCAGTAAAGAGAAGGTCGTGGAGACTATTTTGAGGACCGGTTTGATGCCGATCGTGAGCATTTGTCTTCAGAAACTCTGATTGGTGGGTTGAGGATGGTGCTGGAGTTGGATTGGCTAATGAATCTTTCACCAAAACATAAAAAAATGGAGGGAAATGATTTATTTATTTGAGGACCATTTTGATTGCGTTCACCTTCGGAAACTCTGATTGGACGGTAGAAGATCTTGCTGGATCTTGATTGGCTGATGTCTCCCACCAAAACATAAAAAAGAGGTTTATTGGGGGCCATTTTGAAGATTGTTTTGAATGTTAACCGTCTTTTCTGATTGGTGGGTTGAGGATGGTGCTGGAGTTGGATTGGCTGATGTATCTTTTACCCAAATTCAACTGAGGGTAAAATTTCTTAGAGGCCATTTTGAGGACCATTTCACCTCTCTGATTGGATTTTGATTGGTTGTTATGTCTTTCAGCAAAACATGAAAATAAAGTTTAAAAAATCTGTTGAAAGGTTAACGTTCCTGGTGATCATTTTGAGGACTGTTCTGAATGCCGCTTAGCTCTACTCACGCTTACGTCACAAACCACAAAGACGTTTGGAAACAACTTCCACCGACCGACTGTGATAAAACCAAGGATCTATACTAAGAACTGGATAAGACAAGCCCCTCTGTCCACGACCGCAGATTGATTTGTGGACGCTTTTAAGTACTGCAGTTGCTGACAGGGCATTGACTGCTTTCATAAAGGTCAGATTTTGTAGGGATTGTTTTGTATTTTTACAATATGACCTTGGCAGCGTTGGGCTGAAAATCAGTGGAAATTAAAAACTTTTTTGGGCCCATGTACCAATGAACACTAGCCATGCTGGTGCCACCTAGTGCCTCTGCTCAATTTCATTTCTCTCCAGCGTCTAGGTCAGGAATCGGAATAAACTAGACCAGGGGTGTCAAACTCATTTTGGTCCGGGGGCCGTATCCAACCTACTTTGATCTCAAAGGGGCCGGATCAGAAAACTCATGTCATATAAACCCCAAAAATAACAATAAGTTCAAATATTTGTGCAGAAAAACGCAAATCTATTACAAAAATCTTTTTTAATTGATTAACTCTTTCTTATTATAATATTATAATATTATGAACAACCTGAAACTTTAAGAAAAATTCAATTTCAATACAATGTTTTAACATGAACTTGTATGTAAATAGGAATAAGTAAATTTTTCTTGGAAAATCCTGCACTCGGCTCCACTTTTCTCATTTTTGACATTTTGTTGATGAGGGTGTCACAGTCAACAGTCAAAACGATCGTCCTTTAAGAGAGTTTACAAAGAGACAAGTCTTCATTTGTGCTGCTCTGGTGGGAGGGGCCACGTACAGAGACGCTGGAGACGCTGCTGTGATAAACACCACAGAAAATTACCAATATTTTAATAGAAAATATAATTAAAATATTTTAGTAGAAAATCAGCCAAAGGCCACATTAAAGGTCTTGGAGGGCCGGATCTGGCCCCCGGGCCGTATGTTTGACACCTGTGCTCTAGACGGTTTGCAAGAACTCTGGAAGCGCATTACATATGTCACGACCAAATAGCAGCGATTGGTTAAATTAAAAAAAAGTACCCGCCTACCATCGAGCGAACGAATCCTAAAGCTGCGAGGTCAAACGGCTGACGACTCAGCACAGGCTAAACATCTTGGATTCATCTTCCAGATTTTATCATAGTTGTACGGATAAAATGCACTGAAGTAAATGTGATCAGGGGTCAAATGAAGACTGCATACACGTGCTGTTTGGAATCATCTTGAATTTGGCGCCTCGTCTCCTTCTAATCACATGTACTCGTTGCAATCGGAGTTGTGTGTCAGTGGGGAAATGATCAAAACTGAGATGTGGATGTAATTGTTGATGAGCTGAACATAACGGAACGCTACAATGACATGGAAATGAAGAAAACTGGGACATTTTCTAATTTTCCCAAGATTTTGTCCGACTTACTATTGTGAACAGAGCCGGCGGAAGTTGTCACCGCATGTTTCCAAACGTCTTCCTGGTTTGTGACGTAAGTGTGAATAGAGCCTCTTGCTGAGCGTTTATCTTCAGCTCCTCTGATTGGACAGTTGAGGACGCGGCTGGATTTTGATTAGCTGTCGTTTCTTTCACCAAATTATTACAATAAATTTTAAAAAAATCTGTTTCTGGAGGTCTTTTTGAGGACCGTTTTGAATGCCGACCGTCAGCATTCATCCTCGACCTCTCTGATTGGTGGGATGAGGACGCTGCTGGATTTGGATTGGCTGCTGTGGTTGAGACTGGTGTTTGACGTTCTGGTGGAGGTGGTCCTCAGGTGGGGCGTCTCAGGCTCATCTGTAAACCATGTCTTTTCTGGAGAAGGACAGAGAAGAAGAAAAACATAGGACGTTATATTAAAACGACACAAAACAACACTAATGCAGGGACTTGGGCTGCAAACATGGTTAAATATGAGGTAATTTAATGGATAAAATATGTTAAATTGTAATTCAAATGTAAAAAAAAATCCACAAACATATTCCCAGTTACAATGACTGTCTTCTCTGTGTTCCTATAAAAGATCTGTTAAAGGTGCACTACGTAACTTTTCTGGGGGAGGGTCCGCCAACTGTTGGTCTCCATAAAGATATTATCACTTTACCCAGAATTCTCTGCAGTACGGCATTAAAACATACTGTGAATGGGAATCCGTGTATCATTCGTTCGTTTTTCAAAATAAAACAAAAGAAAATGAAAGAAAATAAATTGAAAAAAAAAACAACAATTATTTTCTTCATTAAAAAACCAAAATGAAAAAACAGATCATGATTTGGTTTTTTCAGTTTTCGATTTTGTGTTTAAATAAATAATGGAAAAAAACAGATAACGACTGTTTCACGTTTCCATGACTTAAACTGTGATGCTGGACTTTTGCGCTGCATATGGACTGAACTAGGACTAAAACAGGACCAAAACAGGACTGAGAGTCAGGACGGGTCCGGAGGTGCGCCTGCGTACACCGTCTGGTGATCAGGACTGAGACCGGGACCGGCCTGGAACCAGATCAGGACTGAGACCAGGATGAGACTGGGATCAGGCCAGGACAAGACTGGGACCGGACTGGGACGTGTTTTGATTATCTTGATTGGCATTATATTGTAAATTATAATTCTTGAATGTTCCATAGTATAGCTTTAAACTCATAGAAACAAGCAGGAAACACAACCAGGTTGACCTCACCAGGACTGAGACCAGGACATAGACCAGGACTGAGATAGGTTTAGTCCTGGGATCAGTCCTGGTTCAGTACTGGTTTAGACCTGGCTTAGACCTGGTTTAGTCCTTTAGTTCAGTCCATATGCGGTGCACAGTTTAAGTCACGGAAACGGGAAACGGTTGTTATCCCTTTTTTCCATTATTCATTTAAACACAAAATCGAAAACTGAAAAAAACAAATTGTTATTTTTGGTTTTATTTTGAAACTAATGAATGAAGATGCAAGTTATTATTGGTCAGATCTGTGGAGAGCGAGCTCATGCAAGTTTTCAAGGTATTTTTGACCAATAGAAACACCCATAATGGAAAAAAAAAAGTTAGATATACTGTATGTTTAATGTTGTACTGCTGAACAGGCAAAGTGATCACCATGGAGACAGGTGACAGGCAGGTGTTAGACCTTCCTCAAAAATGTTACACATTGCACTTTTAGTGTCTTCTTCAACCCCCGCCCACCCAAAATCCCATCCACCATTTTTACAGTTTTTGCAACAGAAAATAATTTCCAACTTCATGTAGGCCTAACTGAGGCGACTTTTACATCACTAAACATCAGTAGGCCCATCCAAATTAACACACGGTCCACATGGCATGGTTTAGTCCTTGTTAAATCCTGCTGGTTTAGACCTGGTTTAGACCTGGTTTAGACCTGGTTTATTCCTGGTTAAATCCTGATTAAATCCTGGTTTAGACCTGGCTTTAGTCCTGGTGTAGTCCTGGTTTAGACCTGATTTAGTCCTGGTTTAGTCCTGGTTTAGACCTGGTTTTAGTCCTGTTTAGTCCTGGTTTAGACTTGATTTAGTCCTGATTTAGTCCTGGTTAGATCTGGTTTAAACCTGGTTTTAGTCCTGTTTAGTTCTGGTTTAGACTTGATTTAGTCCTGATGTAGTCCTGGTTAGATCTGGTTTAGAACTGGTTTTAGTCCTGATTTTAGTCCTGGTTTAGTTCTGGTTTAGACCTATTTTCATCCTGGTGTAGTCCTGATTTAGACCTGGTTTAGATCTGGTTTTAGTCTTGATTTTAGTTCTGGTTTGGACCTGGTTTAGACCTGGTTTTAGACCTGGTTTAGTCCTGATTTGGACCTTTTCACTAGACCATAGATCTAGACCATTTCCGGTAAAGCAAAAACATCTCTTTGGAAAAAAAATCAGACAGGACCTTCTGCCAGAAAAGTTACACAATTTAAGATTACACATCAGTTTTTTTTTTTTTGTTTTGTTTTGTTTTTTTGCTGTTGTTTTTATGGTTTAAAGTTTGATTGAAAACATGAAAAAAGCAGAACTTGTCCATTTTAAACATTTTGCAGTCGTCAAAAGTTATTCCTCACTCACCTAACCTCTACTAACACCCTAAATATTTACATCAGTGAGTTTATAAACTCGTTTCACAACTTTCAGAAGAGTTTTACTGTCACTGCTCATAACAACTAGCATGCTAACGGCACACTTCCTGGTTCACAAAGGATAAAACGTTTTATAATTAGATGAGGACAGCACACAGCCTCAACCGCAGCCTCAAACTCAACTCCGTTCACCGTCAAACCGATCGGCGGAGGTGATAACAACAACATGCGTTTGGTTAATCCCGAAGCACGAGGATTAAAACGAGATCCACACACCAAAGACCTGTACCTGTGCCCACTCTAGTCATCCAAGAAGCACTTCAAAACAAGAGAGAAAGACCAAGTATAAGAGACACAGAGACGTGATGGAGAGGTGGAGAATGGGCGTGAAGACGGGACAAATGGAGGAGTGAACAAGAACCGTGAGGGAGTGGAAGAGGAAGAGGTCGTCTAGAGTCCATGCAGAAATATAAGGACCTCAAATGGAAACCCAGTCTAAGAAATGAAAATACAACTGTCCAATGCACCGGTTGGACATTATAATACACTAATATGAACTTTATATCCATGTTTTTGGTAAGAAATTAGGCCTGGTGTCCTAGTATTTAATAAAGACAGTATTAAATATTACTTTTCTATATTGGAATGCCACATCATTTCTAAATAAGAGCTCAACGGTCCTGCCCACACTCCGCTGTGGCTCTAGAAGTAAATTTTCCATAAATTTTTCCCATAGACTTTTTAAAAAAATTCAAATATTAAGTGTTTAAAAGCATCGCGGAGGCTCACCAGCTTTGTAGTAACTAATATTCATAATAATAACAATAAATCTTAAATAATTTGTAAACCAAGGCTTTCGAAGCACTGTACAAAGAACAAACAATCCAATAAATTATAATAAATAAATAAAAAGAAATAGAACTAAAATATATAAGGAATAAAATCAAGCTTAAACCAGTTAAAGGATTAGCCTGATTCATCATCTCGTTTCACTTCGTGGAAACCGTCTGACCTCGCAGCATTAGGATTCGTTCGCTCGACGGTAGGTGGGTACATTTTTATTTAACCAATCGCTGCTATTTGGTCGTGATGTATTTAATGCGCCGGAACGATCAGTGGCGTCCAAGTAACTGCCGGAACAACAGCAAACAAAGCAGAGAGTGAACATGTCTGTCAATGATCATTGTCGTTTCTGCGACATGAACTTGCGAATTAAAGGTTCAATAAAAAACACAATGTCTGTCTTTGTCTACATCCATCTCGACGCTTTGTTTACTGTTGTGCTGTTCCACAAAAAGGACCCAGACAGACGCTTGAGTTTGACATGGCTTCACAGCTCTTCACTGATTGGCCGGTGCGCGGTCTACAACTTTCGGGGTTCTTGCAAAGTGTAGTGCACTCTAGCGTGTTCCGATTCCTGACCTAGTCGCTGGAGAAAAATTTAATTGAGTGGAGGCACTAGGTGGCACCAGCCTGGCTAGTGAAAGGAAGGAGAACTGATAAAAATGAGTCTTAAGTAGTGATTTAAAAGATGACACTGATGGTGCAAGCCCCATCTCCTCAGGCAGGTTGTTGATTCCACGGACACGGACTGAAAAGGCTCCATCACCTTCGGACATTGAGCCTGGACTTTGGAACAACCACAGGGACCTGCCTCAGGATCTAAGGCTGCGGGAGGCTCGAACGGGGTTAAAAGTTCTGGAATATAACTTGGTGCAAGACCTAAATGAGCTTTAAAAGTGATCAGTAAAATCTTTAAATCGATTCTAAAAATCATAACACGGTTGTCGAAAAGATAATAAATAAAGAAAGATATAACTTATACTACTACTACTAATAATAATATACTTAACTTACTTAAAACTTTGAGGTTTCAAACATTTCAGAAACAGGTTTTAAATAAAAAAGTAAAAGATCTTGTGGTCATTATTACCACACAGCTGATTCACCCTGAGTAAGCTTTCAAACTTTTATTTTATTTTCTTAGTTTATAGGAAAAATGAATGGGAAATTTACTTCTGGAAGCAGAGGGTCACGGCTGAGCTCCATTTTGACCCACACTGAACATGTGACAGTCGTTTGTATTGATGTAGTTAGATGATGGGACGAGACACGATTTTCACGAGACAAGACACCATGAGAACAAGAGATTTGGACATAATTTCTAATACATTAGTTGTGCAATCCAGTTCACAAGGTTGACTTCATTTATTTTATGTAATACTCATTGTAGTGTTGCTTTTCGGAACTACTGCTTCTCAAATTATATAACTCACCAGCTTTTAAGTCTTTTTTTGTCCAAACCAAAGGTAAATTCAGTGGGAAGAAAATCTCACATCATAATTCTTCTCATGTGTTTACGATCTTGTCCCATCCTTATTAGTTTGTGCGAGCAACAATACAATCTTAATTAATATCGAGACATGTTTTATTTCTGAGACTGGGTTGCATTTGATGAAACAGAGTGTTTTGTGTTGTTTCTAAACTCTAAATGTGTTAGTGCCGTAGTTAGTTAGTTTATACTGATTACTAACCATAATCCTTCAGCTGAACAGTCAGCAGCTGCAAAAATGTTAACAGTGTTACACAATGGAATCAAATATTAAATTATGAAAGCAGAATTAAGTAACCTGGGCTCTCAGATCAAGCTTTTGTATTTGTTTAGTTTTTTAAATAAGCAAGATTAATTACTTACAACAACACATAACATTGCCTAATATCAAATGTATTTTAAAAGCGTAAAACTGTTACTTAATTCTGCTTTAAAGGTGCATTGTGTAACTTTTCTCGTGGGTTCTTCAAATACTTTTCTCCATGGCGACGCTATTGCTTTGACTGGAATGTTTCGCTTGACTCGACTTGGACCCCGTTTACACTGAAATGAATCCGTGTATCACCGTATCGAAAACGATCTGCGTCCACACACATCGTTTTCGTGTCCGCGAGTCTTCCTTATCCACGCAGCTTTGAGCATATTTGTTTACGTTTTACAGAAATGAAACTTAAAACCACATGGCTAATTTGCATAAACTCAGCGCTCAAAAAAACAGCTCGCTATTGTGCGCTGATGCGGTTCAGCTTCTGTCGGACTAAGGGGCCGTCCACACGACAAAGTTTTCTGGTCAAAACGGAGAAGTCTTTATGGCGTTTTGGGTGGACGAAAACTGAGTTTTTTTGAGAATGGGTTCCAGAGTGGAGAAATCTGAGAACGCCGGCATCGCGTTGTCATGTGGACAAGCAAACAACAGCTTTTGTAAAACGATGATGTCACGATCCCGTCATCGTCAGGGTCCTCTGATGCAGCAAAGCCCGCAGCCCTCGAACCTCCAGCCCTCCACAGACCGCAAGAGCGTTGCCAAAATGGAACAGGTGTAGCCTACGGAGCCGCTCCCATCCCTCAGCAACCGAGACACGCACTAATGCTAACGACACGCACTGCAGATTCCGCACATGGATCAATAACAAAGACTACGTTTATACTGAAACGAATCCACGTATCATCGTATCAGAAATGATCTGCATCCAGACACGTCGTTTCTGTGTCCGCAATCCTTCCCTGTCCACGCAGCTTTGAGCATATTTGTTTACATTTTTGCAGAAATGAAACTTAAAACCACATAGCTAATTTGCATAAACTCAGCACTCAAAAAAACAGCTCACTATTGTGCGCTGATGTGGCTCAGCTTCTGTCGGACTAAAGGACACGACTCAGTGGAATATGAGTGTTGTTTCTGTGACAGAGGGATGTTCTGCTGATGGTGAGTCTGTTCTGTGTTTCTGTCGCGTTGGAGATGGTTCATGTTAAACTTTTCAGAGATTATACGTCTGCAGGTCGTACACACAGACCATATATATAAATATACTCTAGCCTCTTTGCGTTTTAGTGGTGAATTAGCTACTTCACGGTGCACAGACCTACATCAGTGTATCAGTGTTTTCAGGTGTCCACACTGTGCCGGATCAAATCTGTACTCGGATGAATTCGTGGGAGCTGGCGGCACCAGATCGTTCCGTCTCTGGAGCCGTTTTCAATCGGATTAGTGTGAACGAACACTGCATCCACAACAAAAACGACTCGAATACATACTTAGTGTGGACGGGGCCTTGGACTTGCCTGTATTTGACTTGGAACTTGACTCAGACTTTAGGTCAAGACTGTAGACTTACTTGAGAGGCGACCCTGCTCACAGTCAGAATGTTGTTTTTCTAGGTATTTTTGAGCTATAAAACCATCTGTAATTGAATAATTGTACGATAAATCTGTTTAATGTCACACTGTGGAACATTCCAGGCAGAGCAAAGGCATACTGGGTCCACAGAAACAAGCAGGTGATGGACCCTCAACAAAAAAGTTACATAGTGCACCTTTAAGATAGCAAAGAATGCACATTGTTATATTTTATTTTGCTTGTTTTGTTGCTTTTTTAGGTAAAATACTGACTAGTACAGTGTTGCCTAATGGATGTTTACCTCGTATTAGTTCTGATAAAATAAAATAAAAACAAACAAACATATTACTAGTACAATTATAATTCCACCACACGGCAATTCGTCCGCGTGTTTGAGTCGTACTTTTGTTTGTCTCGGCTCTTGTTGCGGTTGATGCGGTTGGCCGTGGGGATGGAGTGAACAGAGGAGCTCTTTTTGGACGAGTGAGAGGAGTGAGACGAGTGCGAGAGGCTGCAGCGGGACTGTCCGGCGTTATGGTCGAACTGCATCAGGCAGAAGATCAGGTCCGACGGAACCAGCTCAAACGAGTACGGAGGGTTTGTGATCACGTACCTGCAACGAAACAGACACAAGAGATATTAAAGCTCTGTCAGCTCCTTCATGCAAGCAGCAACTCTGAATCCATATTGTTGGCCACAGTGTGTTAAAAGTCTGCGAAGGGACAGAATTTTCAGTCCTGCTTTCGCCCGCAAGTATTGTATTGTATTGACGTTCACTTTCTTAAGCTCTATCAAATACGGAGAAGCAGAATCCGCAAATTTAGGCCAGAGGTTGGGACTTGCAAGTCGTGACTTGGACTCGAGTCAGACTTCAGTCGCTGTTTTTAGGACTTGAGACATGACTTGATAAAATTGACTAAGACTTTTGACTTGACTTGGACTTGAAGGTCAGTGACTTGGGACTTGACTTGAACTTGAGGCTTCTGACTTGAGAAGACTTGAGAAGCACTTTTAAATCTGAATTATTTCTATTTTGATTGTAATGATTCACACTAAGATCTTGTCAAGACATTTAAAAAGTAAAAATATGCATTTCTACTACTCTTATATACTATATATATATAAATATATACAAATACTCATATATAAATATACTATGACTTTATACAAGTAAAATTTAGTTTAAAAGTCATAAATTGCAAAAATCTAAGCTATATTTGGTACTTTGGTTTAAAGACTTGAAATGACTTGAAGCTCAAAGCAGACGACTTGGACTTGACTTGGAATTATGGGCCAGTGACTCGAGACTTGACTTGGACTTGCAGCTTATATTCAGGTGTGGCCTATATATGTACAATTTAAAAATTTATGTTGATGTGACTTAAATTCAGGTGAGCTCAATAGTCTGGAAATTACGGTAAGTATTTAAATATTTGACAAGACTCCCTCACCGTTTGGTACACTGGCTCTGTGTGTTGAGGTGTGCGTCTCGGAGTCGGTAGATCCCGAAGCAGAGCATGTTGTACGTCTTTAGAGCTTTACAAAACAAGTCGCCGTAGCAACCACCGTCCTGAAAACACAGAGGACACAGGCATTTATTCACTTTCCTACTGTGGCATTCAAGTGCAAAACACTTTTACATTTCACAACACACATTAACAAGTTTGAAAACAAAATTACATTTAAAATAGACATTTATATCCTGAAAACAAATTTACGTTTCATAAAACACATGTGCAAATGTTAAAACAAATTTACAAAACCTGAAACATTTGTACAAGTGCTGAGACAAGTTTACATGTGGCAAAAACACAAATACAAACCCTGAAACACATTAACAAGAAAGTTCTTGACGGAAAGAGAATGTCCTAAAAAGCAGAAGTGACGATCGATGTGCGGGACAAGCAGGAAGTGAAAAGCGATTCAGTGAGAGCTCTTATGTGATGAATTGTCATGTGAATAGACACTTTTAACTTTAGGAAGTCATCACTAACACAACTGTAAACACAAAATACGGCCATAACTCACAGAACTGTGGGTTTGACACGGTTATAGTCAGAGCCTTAACTGAAGTCAGAACATATCTTTCTTTTTTCTGTTGAATCACTTTTCACTTCCTGCTTGTCCTGCACATCGATCGTCACTTCCGCTTTTTAGGACATTCTCTTTCGGTCAAGAACTTTCATGTTAATGTGTTTTGGGGGTTTGAATTTGTGTTTTTGCCACATGTAAATTTGTCTATTTTAATTTTTTTATTATTTTATATTATAGTTATTCTGGGTTCAATGTTTAAGCAAAACTATTATTAAATATACTATACACATTTATTTTAATAAGAAAGGGTTTAACATTACTTATCTCAAAAGAAGAGAAAACATACAGATGTTGAAATTTGTCAATAAATATTTAGTTTTGCCCACGACTTAGTCCCAGTTTTTAATTTTGGCCTCTGTGAATTTGAGTTTGACACCCCTGTTTCAGTCTATTGAAAATTTAACCAAACTTTCCAATCATCTTTTCTGATCAGTCAAGTCAAGTATTATAATTTCCCAAAAACCCAAGGCAGTTCTATATATTTTTTTCTTGTATTTAATTTCATTAAAGGTCCTATATTACACAAAATTGAGTCTTGTGAGCTTTAAGTCATGTTGAAATGTTGTTAACTCCTCAAAAACAGACCTAGAGTTGTGAAGAACTAAAGAAATATTTGTGTTAAACTTGTGTGAATAAAACAAAACCCAACTCCAGGTCTATTTGTGATGAGAAAACAACATTATAACAGATCAGAAAATAGTGTAATATGGGCTCTTTATGTGTCTGTTTTTTCATCTAAATAAATCATTCCTAGTAGAGTTTCATTTGTCTCATTTAACCCAACTGTCTCACCCCCAGATCAGCGAAGGGCCCGTCGTACAGGGCCAGCTGTGCCACTCTGCACCTGTCCCGGTTGGCCAGGGTCTGCGGGGTGCTGTAGCCTCCTCTCAGGGCGTTCTCTTCAGCCAACAGACCCTCCAGCTCCGGGGTGGCTCCTCCTGTCACCAGGGTCCGGATCAGAGTCAGGATGTTGTCATTGAAGTAAGTCTGAGGGAGGAAAAAGGGAAAAAGTCACATCTGCTCATAGAAATTTATTACTTTTTATGCTAATGCAACAATAACAAAACAAATCTCACTATTTTTGACCTTTTTAACATTGAACATCGATTTTCTCCATCTAAAGAGGGTTTGTGGGACTGTTTTCAACGTGATCTTTGGTATATTACAAAAAACACATTTATTGTACCAGATAGATCTACACATCACTACGTTTTACTCTTGTTATCTTTTGTAAGTCATGGTTCTTGTTTAAATGAAGGACCAGGACGCTTTTCCACCTTCAACACACTTTACCTCAAGGAACCACTCACCTATTCTGAAGGCGAAGGGGTTAAGTGCAACAAAAGCATTAGTGGATCTACCAATAATGTTTATGTCGAGATTGGGTTCGAACTGTCACCCTTTGGATCACTGAACAAACTGTTGCCCTTCTGACCTTCTGTTATACAATAATTACCTGTAAACAAGTAATACGTCTTCTTTAATACTTGGTCTTGTCTATCCATGAAGCCAAACTAAGGCTACGTTCAGACCACAGCCTGAAGTGACCCAAATCTGATTTTTTTGCCAATATGCTCCTGTATCTGATCTTTTAATGACAGTCTGAACGACACAGATCCAATTTTTTTTTTTCAAATTTGACCCAGGACACTTGGATATGTGCTCCTGAAACCGATACATATCTGATCTTTTGACACGTAACTTCAGTCTGAACGGTCAGGTCACATTCATCCCACCTACACGTCATCAACAAGCCACAAACGTCACTATTCTGCGCTTGAAGTAGGTGGAAACTAGCCAGACTGGTACCAACTAGGTCAGGAATCGGAATACACCAGACGGTTTGCAAGAACCTCGGACGTTGTAGACCACGAACCGGCCAATCGGAGAAGAGCTGTGAAGCCATGACGTCAAACTCAAGCATCTGTCTGTGTCCCTTTTGTGGATCAACACAACAGTAAACAAAAGCATCGAGATGGATGTAGACGAAGACAGATATTCTGTGTTGGCAACGATTCCCGAGATCGAGGATTTAAAGCCGGAACAAAGAGAATATTTGGTGAATTTTATCAAGGGGAAAGACGTTATTGCCCTTCTTCCTACGGGATTTGGCGCATTACAAACATCATGACCAAACAGCAGCGATTTTTAGTGCTATTCTATGATTTTGCGCTTATTTTATTTTACTGGTTTTATTATTTTAAGACGAGTATGATTATTTTTGTAGTTTATTTTATCATTTTATTATTGTTCTTATTATTATGTATTTGTGCAGCACTTTGGAAACTGTTTATGAAATGTGCAATAGAAATAGATTGGATTGGTTAAATAAAAAAAAGTACCCGCCTATTATATCCGTTGAGTGAACAAATCCTAATGCTGCGAGGTCAGACGGTTTCCACGAAGTGAAACCGGCTGATGAATCAGGTTTGGCGGAAACTGGAAGAAAGCCACAACCGCGGCAGACGACAACGCAAGAGAATTTCCAGGCTCTGATGGGTCGGAGTCAGTGGATCAATGGATCAATCTCCTCTTGAAAACAAATAAGCTGTACGTGTTCTGGCTTTGATACGACAGCAACTGGACGTCACAAACAAGTCGCGTTTAACTGGAAATGTGAACGACCTCGCAAAACAATCCGAACTGAGCATTAAACCCTGCAGTCTGAACGTTGCCAAAGAAACGTCTGATACGTCCCGTCTCTAATGTATGTCGACAGGCCCATCTGTGTCAACCCGTCAGCGCAGCCCCGGTCTCCTCGTTAGTGAGTGGAGGTGGTCTGTCGTGAGTGGAGGTGGTCTACAGTGGCGGACGGAGGCGGTGCGTAGAGTGAGCTCGCGTCTCCAGCCTCATTCGCAGCGACGCGTATCGACCGTGATGATGGATGGGGCCTGTCTGTTTAAAACACTCACTCACTGTAACGCTGACAAATGGAGACGGGACTTAACTGTCACCGCTACAGGAGACGTATCGACGGACTGTTTATGTAGGGAAAGGAGCACAAAGTCAGGTTCTGTTTTTAGTTCACTGGGTTTGTTTAATCTTTATTTAACAAGGTTCTTCTGCTGTTTCCTGGCCCCAGAGCGAAGCCTGTTTTGCGTGTTTGCGGTGGAAGAGGAAATGAGAGCATCCAGAAGAAACCTACGCAGATACAGAGAGAAGTGTTGTAGTCAAGACCGCATGAGACCAAGACCAGTCCGAGACCACAGGGTCCCGAGACAAAGACAAGACCAAGACTCTTAAATGTTGAGACCAAGACCAGTCCGAGACCACAGGGTCCCGAGACAAAGACAAGACCAAGACTCTTAAATGTTGAGACCAAGACCAGTGTAGACCAGATCAAGACAAGACCAAGACCAGTCCGAGACACAGGGTCCCGAGACAAGAAGACTCTTAAATGTTGAGACCAAGACCAGTCCGAGACCACAGGGTCCCGAGACAAAGACAAGACCAAGACTCTTAAATGTTGAGACCAAGACCAGTCCGAGACCACAGGGTCCCGAGACAAAGACAAGACCAAGACTCTTAAATGTTGAGACCAAGACCAGTCCGAGACCACAGGGTCCCGAGACAAGGACAAGACCAAGACTCTTAAATGTTGAGATCAAGACAAGACCGAGACCACGGCCCATCAAGATCAAATCAAGACCATCTTTGTAATTTTCTACATTTCTTTGTACAGTTATTTTGGCACATGTATATCAGTGTTGTTTTTTTTTCATAAATCTATCTCCATTTTATCTGATTAATCTTAATTTAGGCCTAAAATAAATCAAGCAAACTGTACTGCACTTAAACACTTTGTGCCCCTTTTTTGGACTCTGACCCACGGTTTGAAAGCCCCGTCTTTAAGAGAACTTCCCTGGGCACTTTACAGAAAACAACTTCAGAGTGAATCAAGTTCATTTTTCAAGTTCCTAACATTTACAGTTACATGATCTTACTGGTTTTGTAGTGATATTGAGCCTCTGCACATTTGCCGGCCGTAGTGAAATATGATCGCACTCGTCAAGTGTCAAACCTCCAGTCCGAGACGAGACCGAGTCATAGCGCCACCAAGACCAAGACGAGACCGAGTCCGAAAGAGCTCGAGTCTGAGGCGAGACCAAGACCGTAAAAAAGTGGATTCAAGGCCGGTACTACGACACTAACAGAGAGAACATGCATATTCCACACAGCATCTGTACGTCACAGAAGAATCAAACCCAGAACTAGAGTCCTGCACCCTGGACCCGACGCAAAACAGTGAGGCAGTGTTGGGGAGTAACAGATTACATGTACCGGAGTTACGTAATCAGAGTACAAATTATGACTAACTGTATTCAGTTACAGTTACTGTTTCAATGAGCGGTAATTGGATTACAGTTACTTTGTTGAAATAAATGGATTACACAGCGACATTTTGGGCTATATCCCTTTTTTTTGTTGTTGTTTTCCTCGGTAATTCCAGTCATTGCCAGACACTAAACCAGGTCTAAAACCACATCTAAAACCAGGTCTGAACCCAGGTCCAAACCCGGTCTAAACCTGTTCTGAACCAGGTCTAAAACCAGGTCTAAACTATTACTAAACCAGGACCAAACCAGGTCTAAACCAGGAATAAACCAAGACTAAACCAGGTCTAAAACAGGATTTAACAGGACTAAATCATGCTGCGTGGACTTGTCTCTTCTTTTGTCAATAATATTTTTAATACGGTTAAGTAAAAACTGGGCTTTTTATTTTCTTTTAACAGACAAAACATCTTATGTGAAGATATCCTAGACTTTGCATCTCTACAGCAAATCAAGTAATCCAAAGTATTCAGATTACATTACTCACCTAAAGTAATTTAATGGATTACGTTACAAACTACATTTTGGGGTATGTAATCTGTAATCTGTAGGGGAATACATTTTAAAAGTCACCTTCCCAACACTGGGCGCGGGACACATTTTGAAAGATCATTGCAGGTGTGAGCAGGAGCAGGACTGCACAATGTGGGAGCAGGCGTGATGATAAACTGCAGTCCTGCAAACTAAATATGAGACTAAAGTAAAATATACAAATGATGAATGTTTGCCGATCATACATCATTTGTGCAGGAGATTTTATTTGGCATTAATAAAAACATTTTAAGCAGCTGAAACTTGCAGACGTGTTTTAGTTCTCTGAAGCCTGGATGAGGGCGTTTATTCCGCAGTGCCCCAGTCGTCAAGAGGAGTGAAACAAAACTGATTTGAACCTGTTCTTACTTTATACTAGTTGGTTTTACACAGGCCTATCACGATAAGAAATGTAGAAGTCTGATATTTTGCTGAAATAAATATGGATGATAAAGAAATAATATTGAAACTAATCCATGCCACTGACACAAAAACCCAAGAGCAGATTCAAACCACTGTTGTAAATCTACAATATTGTTAAAAAATAATGAGCTGAAATAAATAAACAGCAGAATGAAACACTTTAGAGCTCAGTTTGCATGTTGTGAAAGAATTTCTGTGTTATTTTAAATATTATGAAAATCATAATCATTTGTGTGTGTGATTAGAGTTAGCAACAATTGCGTTTTTTGGGTTTTTTCCGTTCTGACAAAAAGCAACATTGGCTTTTTGTTTTTGTCTTGTTTTGTTGTGTTCAAGCTGTATCAGGTGATCTTGCTGATGTGTCGGCTGACTCGTTAAGATAATGTACCGGAGAAAACAACGTAATGGTAAACGTCATGAGTTTAACATAATGTACTGTATTGTTATCTGTGAAATGACTTCAATAAAAGCTGCTGTTGGGGAGTAGCTGTCAGAGAAGTAGGGTCAGAGCGTAGATGACAGCTTTTCTCTCCTTGCGCAAGTAAATTACCGTCTCGTTTTGGTGTGTCTTTAATTAATGTAATTTGATGTCTTAGGGTATAATTCCCTGACACATGTGTAATGAGTCATAGAAGTTATTAATTCAACCTTCTACCGATCAAATCATATCACAAAGAAACTGGACACATGATAAATACCGACTCCAAAAATATTCTTCCATCTGTTATATTTTGAACGATAAGTCGATATAGTAATTATCATGACAGGCTTATTTGTACCAAAAGTTACTAAAGCTAATCCACCTAAACTCTGACTTACGGCGCTCATGAGCGAGTCGAGGACGCTGACAGCGAACGCCGTCCCGCAGGCGAAGGGCTGAGTGAGGTACAGCTCTGTGTCAGGGTCGTCATCGTCGTCCTGGTCCAGAAACTGCACATTTGAGTCGTTCACTGGAAAAAACAGGGGGAAAAAAACGTTTATTTTTGTTTGATTTTAGGAAAGATGAAAAGTGGAAAAGACAGTGACCAAGCAGCGAAACTGTGGTAAAGAAAAAGAATCAACAGTGAGAAGATGAAGGTATGGAGTGTACTAGTAACAGCTCAATTAGTACAAGCTTTGTCATTATAAAATACTACAATAATTTCAGTTATAATAGTAATTCAAGTGTTTTTTAAAGTACTTGAATTTTTTGTACAATTCTTAATTTTTACGATTAGAAAATAAAATAAATACATTGTGTAAACAAAAAGTAAATGTCTCTAAAGTTAAATGATGAAGGAAATGAGAAAAGAGTATATTGATGATTATTTTTTTTAAGTATTATATTTACTATATTTATATATTTTCCTCGCTTTTAATCGTACCAAATTACCCAAATAAAACATATAAACCAAAATTATGGAAGATAATTTGTTTCATCAGATTTAGAATTTTAAACGCAGTTGAAAAACTGAACTGAATTATTTTTGTTATGAATTTTAGTTGCTGAAATTTTAAGTGTAAATCATCAAAGTGTTTAAAATTCAATATAAAAAAAAAATCACCTTTTAAATATTCAGCACAAATATTTTCAAGCATCAAATTGAACAGTCAAAATTCAGAGTGAATTATTCGCAGTGAGAAAAAAATTCGCAGGAAAGATCCAATATGCCAAGGCAGAAACAAACCGATCTAACTCACCCTGTGTTTGATTATCTTCTGACTCCCACTTGGACCTCAGATTTGACTCTTGAAGCTAATTATTATGTTTCACGTGTGATTATGACTTTGCCCTCATCTTATGAAAACGCTGCCACTTTGATTAATTTAATTTTTGAAATTTGCTCTTCATTTTATGTTATGATTTCTCCTCCGTTACAACCTTAGGGACATGAACACCTGTCAAATCAAGTATTTATTCAATACTGGCTTCACCACAACACCGACTACCAAACCCACAGGCAGTGATACGGATCCGGTAAAGTACTGCAGTGATACGAGTGACTGAAATTGTCATTCAAACCACCAATGAAACACACAAACACAATGGAAACACTTCATATTTACACGTCACACTGGGCTTAGTCATCTTGGATTCTGACTCGGAATCCTTGCTCGGTCTACTAATTCCACCACCGAGGTCCAAGTCGTTAGCCTGATTCATCAGCCAGTTTCACTTCGTAGAAACCGTCTGACCTCGCAGCATTAGAATTAATTCACTCGACGGTAGGCGGGTACTTAAAATTTAACCAGTCGCTGCTATTTGGTCATGGCCAGTGTTGGGAGTAACGCGTTATAAAAGTAACGAATTACAGTAATGCATTACTTTTTGCTGTAACGCAGTAATGTAAGGCATTACAGGGGAAAAAATAGTAATATTTTACTCGGTACAAATGTGAGTAACGCGCGTTACAGTGTTTTTTTAACCTGGATTGAAGTGGTGGGTTTTTCTTCATACAAATTCGCTAAAATCACCTCGATATCAGCAGCGGTGAAACGCCGGAGATGCGCCCTCGTAGACCTTCAGGTAACCGCGGGCGAAAGGACTGACAAAGAACTCCACGCTGTTTAGACCTGGTTTAGACCTGGGTCAGTTCTGGTTTAGACCTGGTTTACACTCGTCCCTCCCTCTATCGCAGTTCACTTTTCGCTGTCTCGCAGATTTATTTATTTATTTTTTTTTGTGTGCAATTTTGCATGCCCTTTTTTTTTTTACATTGTATGAATGCGTATTGCGTTCCTCCCGCTGCGTCCTGACTGGCCAAAGGACTCCTGTCTCCTGTACAGTACAGAATGTGTTCAGCTGCCAAATTTAAATACATGTTCAACCTCTAGCAGTGTTTTAGTCCTAGTTCAGTTCTAGTTTAGTCCTAGTTCACTTCTGGTTTAGTCCTGGTTCAGTCCATATACAGCGCAAAAGTTATTTTGGTGAGAGTAACTTAAAGTAATGCAATAGTAATGTAATGCCTTACATTTTAAATGCAGTAATATTGTAATGTAACGAATTACTTTGAAATGACAGTAATAGGTAATAAATAACACATTACAGTTTCAAAGTAACTTGCCCAACAGTGGTCATGGCGTATGTAATGCACCACTAACGGGACTAACTGGTATATTAAGCTTTTCCCAAATCCTGTAGGAAGAAGGACAATAACGTCTTTCCTCTTGATAAAATTCACCAAACATTCTCTTTGTTCCGGCTTTAAATCCTCGATCTCGGGAATCTTTGCCAACACAGAATGTATGACTCTTCGCTGATTGGCTGGTGCCCGAACTCGCACTTACGGGGTTTTTGAGAACCATCTATTGTAATCCCATTCCTGACCTAGTCACTGGAGAGAAATGAAATTGAGCAGAGGCACTAGGCGGCGCCAACCTGGCAACCGAGTCGCTCCGTCCCAGGCAAAGGGACGTGTTATGCGTGTCCTTTCTTCGGAAAACCGATTGGGAAGGATAATCGAACGCAGGGTTTAGTAACAAGCAGGAAATGGTGCAGTGAAGCGATCTGATTGGTCAGAATTCGCCTCATCAAAACCTCAAACCCCGCCCACTAATCAGAACGGCCAATCGGAAACAGCCTCTGTCCTTCTCACTCACAGGATCGATCGCTTCTGCCTTGGCATCTTGGATCTTTGTGGTGAAATTTTACACTCTTTTGAATTTGAAGGCTTGAAAATATTTGTGCTGAATATTTAAAAGGTGAAATTTTTTAGTTTGAATTTGAAACATATTGAAAACGTACACTTAAAATTTCAGCAACTAAAATTCTCTAATCTTCAAAATGAGAAATTCAGCGGTATTTAAAAATAAAAAATCTAACGTAAAAATGATCTTCAAGTAAAAAATAACCAACTGTTCTGCGTCTGCACACTCCATACCACAGTCACAATGTTTATTTCATGCATTTTCGTCCACAGCTTCCTTCAGATCTCCACTGTTTTATAACCACAACCTTTTGTAGAATCACTTTTACTTGTCCAAACCCCAAAATCAAAAGACTTCAAGCCACGAGTTTCTCCTTTTCAACCCATTTCTGAGCCTATCACTTGGAGAGGCCGGCGTAATAATGTAAAATTCAACAGCTGCAGCTTCAAGAACGTCAAACTCAACCAGTGGAGATGAGGGGAACTTGGGGCTGTCTGATCCAATACAAGCTTCCACAGAAACTACAAAGATGGAAAATAAAAGAGACACATTTTGCTTTGAGAGATTGCAAACCGAACAAGACAGACGATTTGAAAAGAAAAAGTTAAAAAGCTTGTTGCGGCGGCGATTGCGCAAACAAGTTTAGCCCGCGATGGCCTTACCCAGTTCGGTTATCATTTGAATGCTGGTGCCGCTGCTCTTATCCGGACTGAAGGAAATCACAGGGAGCTTTTTGCCTTGTTTTGATAAAGGAGCTGGACGAGTGTTGAGGAGAAATGGTTACAAGTCAAAAACAAGCACAAATAAATACAGGCTTACTGTAAGGGCATTTTCACTCCAAAAAGACTAAATAGATACATAGATGCAGAGATATCTGAAGGAAATTTGTTTTTCAGGCAGCAACAATACATAATATAGGGTGACCAGATGTCCCCGTTTACCCAGGACAGTCCCAGTTTTGAGCCCTGTGTGTCCTGTCCCAGCAGATTTATACAAAACCACTGATGTGTCGAGGTTTTGTACAAGAAATGTCCCAGGTGTTCCTATTTTTGACTAATCTGATACTTAAAGACTAAAGAACAGTAAAGAGAGACATAAACTGTCATTTGTTTTGGGAAAATACAGAAAAGCTGCTTAAAAACAACAAAAACACAAAGACTGCTGAGTGCAGAACAATTTTCCTTAATTACACACCGTTTCACAATTTTATTATTACCAACTAGGGTTGGGTAGCCTGATTCATCAGCCGGTTTCACTTCATGGAAACCGTCTGACCTCACAGTGTTAGATTTCGTTCACTCGACAGTAGGCGGATACTTTTTATCATTTAACCAATCACTGCTGTTTGATAGTCACGTATGTAATGCGCCGCTGACGGGGCTAACTGGTATATTACTCTCTTTGCTCCGGCTTTAAATCCTCGATCTTAGGGATCGTTGACAACACTGAATATATGGCTCTTTGCTGATTGGATGGTACCTGAAGTGCAGCGTAAACTGTCTAGTGCAGGGCTGTCCAAACTTTTTCCATCAAGGGCCACATATTTAAACACAGACGAAACAGAGGGCTGATCGAGGGCCGTAGACTGGGGCTCAATACAGTGAATAATTGAAATATGTGCATTTTTAACACGTTACAATAAGCCATCAGACTTTATTCACGCTAAGATCCTTTAAACCACACACTAAATATAAGATTTTAGCTTTATCAAGGTAGATTTTCAAAAAATATACCTTGATAAAGCTGTATAAAGTTAATATTTAATTGATGCAAGGTAATTTGGGCCAATTTACCTGGAAGCCTGAGGGCCAAGAAAAATTTGTCAGAGGGCCACATTTGGTCCACGGGCCAAAATTTGGACATGCCTGGTCTAGTGTTTTCTGATTCTTGACCTAGTCGCTGGAGAGAAATGAAATTGAGTGGAGACACTAGGTGGCATCAGCCTGGCTAAGGGTTGGGCAATAATACAGTATTACAGTATCCCGCAGTATCAAAAAGTAGCAACAGTATCAGTTGGTATTACAGTAATACTGTATACCCCGGTAAAATCCTGAGAAGGTTTAACGGTATCAAAATTTGGATATCACCCAACCCTATTACCAACCAACCTAAACCAGGGACATTATTTTGAAAATCTGGTCACCCTCACATAAAACAATACATAATATAATACATAACATCAATTTATATCAATTTATCAAATTATAGTGAAATGTGAGATTTGGGATTGGAAAATGTTGCTACATGAGCCAATCTGCAAACAAATATCAAAACTAGTATCTGAACTGTTTTCGTTGGGAGTCCATCACCTTCTTGTTTCTATGGATATTTCATTGCTCTGCCTGGAATGTTCCACAGTGTGACTTTAAACAGCTCTACTTTACATTTATTCATTTACACTTGGTTTTATAGCTCAAAAATACCAAGAAAAACAAACATTCTGACTGTGAGCGGGGTTGCCTCTCCACAGATCTGACCTGTAACTTGGTGTGTTCTGGTCTCCATGAAGATAGAAATGTTTAGTACTAGACGGACCCTCCACCAGAAAAGTTACACCATGCACCTTTAAGTAAAAAATGTAGGTACATGTTCCTGTATCTGTACTTTCTACTCCACTGCATTTTTGAACAGGTCTGAAAAGTTAAAGTATTTTTTATTATTATAGTTTCAGACCTGCAGAAAAGGCTGAGGTTTTATTTTGAACAAAAATACACAGAGAAAACCAGCCAGGAAAAGATATACACATTATTTATTGTACTATACAACATATTTCACTTGTTTCTGCTGAACAAAATTCTGCACAAACCTGTATCAAAATCATTACATTTGAAGCTTTATTAGATCTAAATACCTGCGCAAAATGAAAGTACTTTTTACTCCTTAAATACATTTTAAAACAGGTTTTAGATGCTGCACTCTCTCTTAAAATAAAACTGTAACAAATTTGTACAGAGAAAAAATTATTTATTCTTGTTTTCTATTTGTCAGGAGTGAAGATGCCCTATTACATTTTATTTAGTTTAGTTGATTTGAATCTCAAATGCCCCAAAAATTTAGAAAATTTGATGCTGAACCATGCATTTAGTATTTAAAAACATACAGTAGTAGTAGTAGTAGTAGTAGTAGTAGTAGTAGTAGTAGTAGTAGTAGTAGTAGTAGTAGTAGTAGTAGTAGTATTTACCTAGTTCGGTGATAATGGGGATATTGGCTCCTGTTGTGACTGAAGTCTGTCGGACTAAACCGTGGACCGGACTGTTCTCTGGAGAGGAGCGGTCCATCCCAGGAGGAGTGAAGCCTGGAGGGACAAAAAGAACCAAAAGCAAAATACATTAGGGCATAATAACATCACAGTCGTCACGTGAGCAGTAAAAACAAGGAAAGTCTGAAGTTGCAGCAGCTGATTTTGAGCCGAGGGAGATGGCAAGTGTAAAAACAGTCGACAGGACCGACGATGAGGTTCAGTTGTTACTTAGTGTAACACTGGATTTTAAGACGAGCACGGCGGCTCAGACTGAGGACCATGGATCTATTAAAATAACTGGAGGGTGTTGCTGCTTGTAGCTGCCTCGAGTTGACGTAGTGACACTCACTGGTACTTCAGCTGAAAAAACCCCATGGGCCGAGAGAAGATTTTTCTCATAGAGGCAAAGTAATCACAAACTGCTCGTGTTCGTCTGACAGGGCACCAACAACTTTCAAAAATGTTGGATTTTGTGGCGATTTTTACCTATTTTTACATCATAAACTTTTTCTCAGCTCAAAATCCTTCAGTTATCTTAAAAAACGTTTTATAATCGTTAGCTCCAACTCCGCTCTGCTCACTCTGATTGGTCAAAGTGATCACGTGATACATCAGACCATGCTCCGTGTCAGCATTCGCGTGTGCCCGCAGGTGAAAAGACACTACTGCGGATACTTGTTCGTCCCACAGCCACCGGAGGTACCTCGCCGGGCTAAAGGCGAATCTGGGATCGTGCACCATTGAGCTCGGCCCATTGACTTGAATGGGCAGCCATTTTGAAACCCCGGGGCTTGGTGAGGACTGACTCGTTTCTGTGTCCGCAAGTCTTCCCTGTCCACACAGCTTTGAACATATTTGTTAACGTTTTACAGAAACAAAACTTAAAACCGCATGGTTAATTTGCATAAACTGAGCGCTCAAAAAACAGCTCGCTCCTTGTGCGCTGATGCGGTTCAGCTTCTGTTGGACTAAAGGACACGACTCAGTGGAATATGAGTGTTGTTTCTGTGACAGAGGGGTGTTCTGCTGATGGTGAGTCTGTTCTGTGTTTCTATCGCGTTGGAGATGGTTCATGTTAAACTTTTCTGAGATTACAGTATACGGTCTATGCGTACGATCAAACGCACAGACCGTATATATGAATGGACAAATATTCCCAGCTTTTTAGCGTTTTGGCAGTGAATTACTTCGCGGCGCATAGACCTACATCAGTGTATCAGCGTTTTGAGACGTCCACACGGTGCTGGATCAGATCTGTACTCAGATGAATTCGTGGGAGCTGGCGGCACCAGATCGTTCCGTCTCTGGAGCCGTTTTCAATCGGATTAGTATGAACGAACACTGCATCCACAATGAAAACGATTCGAATACGAACTAGTGTGGACGGGGCCTTACTCCACTCTGGTGTTTTGGTTAGTGACAAAATGATCCGTTCCTTTAAATTATTTCTTCTGGAAGGTTTTCTGCCACATTTGGTGTAAAAAGCCTCTGAAACTGCTCAAAAGCCCATAGCTGCTTAGTTACTCTTGGGATTTCCATGGATACGGGATAAATTATTATTATTTCGAGTCAAGTTTAGTTCCGTGTACAGATACAAGAAAGATTAGAAGACCGTACGAGCTGCCACAATATTTCCTCTCATGGTTCAGTGCGTTCACTCAGTTAATAATGTAGTGTATCTCGGACAAAACGAGCGCATCAGCAAAACTCACCTCCTCCTCTTCTATTTTGTACACTCTGTTTAAATCATCCGACTGTGACCTTCCCATACATCTGACATGCTCCAATATCAGCTCATCTATAATAGACACGACACGCTACTCATTTTGTTTTCCTTTAGCTCCGCCGCGCTACCAAAAAACCTTTTAGACTCCCGCACATGCTCAGTTTTTGCGCCGCGAAACGGACGTAAAGTGACAAGAGATGGAAATTAAATTGACTTGACATTCGCGGCGCGCCTCAGACTGACATAAGCACATTAAACCGAGCGTTCCTTATGTATAATGCATCGTTTCTGTTTGGCGAGCTGAGTCAGGAGAAAGCAGCGGCATACGTGTATTAAAGATGTAATCAGATTGGCAGCCATCTTGTTTCTGTCGGTTGGGGGTCAGATGATTCTAAAAGCAAAGCACTCAACGTAAAGACGAGCGGTACGGAGGCTGCACAGGGTCGTAAATGATAAATGTCCGGGTTAATTTTGTAAACCAAAGCCGTGGTGTGGTGCATGAAGGGAAACGGTGTCCTTCCAGTGCTCATAAAAATACTTTTAATAATTTACTGAGGGACAAACAGGAGGACGACCAATCACAGAGCAGCACATCATACAGACTTTGATATGTTACACTTCACATTTGATGGGCGACGGATCTGTAATAAAAACTGGATGAGGCGTTCCCCCTCTGTCCAGGCTCCAGACAGACTAGTGGCCGCTCCAGGTACTGCAGCTCCAGAAAGAATTTTACCAAAAAACACAATGCATTTTTTGGTGAATCAAACTGCCCGTCTTTGTCTGACAGGGCATCCACAACTTTCACAAAGGTGGGATATTGTCAGGATTCTTTTCTATTTTTACAACATAAACTTTTTAAAATTTTTAAATCCTCAAAGCGCCTACAAGTTAGTTTTGTAAGACTTAGTCTAGTCTCACACTGAGCCCGCTCTACCAGCTCTGATTGATCCAAACGCTCCACGGCGTGCACGTTACAGAAGTCACACGGGTAGGAGGCGCTAAGTAAGTAAATGCGGAAGTGAACTTTTTTTAGGCCCATGCACTAATAATGTCATTTCTCTCCAGCGACTAGGTCAGGAATCGGATTACACTAGACACTTTACAACAACCCCAGAAGTTGTAGACCGGCACCGACCAATCAGCGAAGAGCTGTGAAGCCATGACGTCAAACTCAAACGCCCGTCTGGGTCCCTTCTGTGGTGCAGCGCAACAGTAAACAAAGCGTTGAGATGGATGTAGATGAAGACAGACATTCTGTGTTGGCAACGATTCCCAAGATCGAGTTTAAAGGCTATTAGCCTTTAGCCGTAAATGCTGCGCAAAGCGGTAGTTAATTATATGCATAAATGTGGATCATTCACACGTCTATTCACAGCTCATTTACATATCAATGCTGGTAGTAACAAATACACGGCCAATGTAGTCACTTTACAATAGACCAATAGAAAACAGACTGTTTATGTGCGGGAGCTACAGCAGCTAACCGCTAACAAAACCTAGGCTAGCTTCAAAGTCGATGTATTTCCAACACTCACCGCTCACACAGGCTCCTCCCACATCACAAGTCTGCACTAATAAATGTCCTTTTAATCCAGACTCAAACCGATTGTCCGAAAAAGAAAATAATCTCAGTGTTGCGCACGGCTGCGGGTGTAAACAAACACACGCGAGTGAAGTGACGTCACTCTGTGGTGTGTTCAGGAACAGTACGGACACAGACACAGACAAATTACACCGTAGATAAATACTGATGCGGAGCCACATATTAGGACATTTATCTGTCTGTAAATTGGATTAAATGAACATAATGTAGAGAGTCTAAGCTTTATAACGAGATATAACATACCCACGTGAAATATCGGCCCAAATCAGCAAGCATATCGGCCGATAGCCGATATGTCTCCAGGTGCCCATATTGGCCGATAATATCGGCCAGCCGATATATCGGTCGGGCTCTAGTTTTAACATGAACTTGTTTAACATTAACTTGTATAAATAGGAATAAGTAAATTTTTCTTGTAAAATCCTGCACTCGGCTTCAGTTTTCTCATTTTGGAAATTTTTCTGATGAGGGTGTCACGGTCAACAGTCAAAACGATCGTCCTTTAAGAGCGTTTGGAAAGAGACAAGTCTTCATTTGTGCTGCTCTGGTGGGAGGGGCCACGTACAGAGACGCTGGAGACACTGCTGTGATAAACACCACAGAAAATTAACAATATTTTTATTAAAAATAGAATTAAAATATTTTAGTAGAAAATCAGCCGAGGGCCACATTAAAGGTCTTGCAGGGCCGGATCTGGCCCCCGGGCTGCATGTTTGACACCTGTGATGTAAACTGTTCCAAGCAGTGACATCTTGGACACCAGAAAAGTTACACATTGCCCCTATAGTCGCTATGGTAACCGCCCCATGGTTTCAGTAGACTTGTACCTTGAGAGTTGGCCTGCAGGAGCCCGATGCTGTCGTCGAACTGCATGGACTTGATGTTGAGCGAGGCCAGGATGCACTCTTTGTCCTGGAGAGACGCGTCGTCGATGTTGTTCTGATTGGCCGACAGGATCACGCACATGTCACACAGGTTTATGTTCACGGCACGAAGGTCCGCACGACTCAGAGGGGTGCCCTGAAGAAAAGAGGGGAGGAGAAAGAAGGAGGGAGGAGGGAGAGAAAGGAAGAAGAGGAGAAAGAAAGAAGAGAGAGCGTAGGGGGAAGAGAAAGAAGGGAGAGAAGGAGAGAAAGAGTAAACAAGGCGTAAAGGAAGGAAACAGTTGAGTGGGGAAAGAAGGAAGGAGGGAGGGAATAAAGAAGAGAGAGGGGGGAGAGAAGGAGGGAGATACAAAGAGAGAGAGTGGGAGAAAAAGAAGAGAGAGCATGGGGGGAAGAGAGAAAGAAGGGAGAGAAGGAATAGACAAGAGGTAGAAGAAGGACATAGTTGAGTGGGGAAGGAAGGAGGGAGAGAGAGAAAGAAGAGAGAAGGAGAAAGAGAAAGAAGAGAGAGGGGGAGAGGAAAGAAGAGAAAGCGCAGGGGCAGAGAGAAAGAGGGGAGAGAAGGAGAGAAAGAATAGACAAGGGGCAGAGGAAGGACATAGTTGAGTGGGGAAGGAAGGAAGGAAGGAAGGAAGGAAGGAGAGAGAGAAAGAAGAGAGTGGAGAAGAGAAAGAATTGGCGAGGTAGAAGAGGTAGAGGAGGAGGAAGAGAGAAGAGAAGCCAGAGAAGGAGGGAGGCAACGAAGGGGTGAGAGAGAAGCGAGAGGGAGATGGGGGACAGAGGGAAAGAGAGAGAGAAGGAAAAAGAGAAGGAAAAAGAGAAGGAGGGAGAGAGAGAGAGAAAAGAAAGAGGGTAAGAGAAAAAAATGGGGGGTAGAGATAAAGGAGAGAGGGATGAGAGAAGAGGAGGATAGGAAAAAAGAGGAAGAAAAAAGAGAAAAGAGGGGAAGAGACAGAAAAGATCATTTAATTGCTAAAAATGTAAATATAATTAAAGTCATTGCAACTTCTACTTTTTCTTTACAGTACTCACAGGCAGTATTTAAATAGTACTTTTAGGCAGTACTCAGTTAGTATTTAAACAGTACTTTTATGCAGTACTCACAGGCAGTATTTAAATAGTACTTTTAGGCAGTACTCACAGGCAGTATTTAAATAGTACTTTTAGGCAGTACTCACAGGCAGTATTTAAATAGTACTACTCTGCAGTACTCACAGGCAGTATTTAAATAGTACTTTTCTGCAGTACTCACAGGCAGTATTTAAACAGTACTTTTCAGCAGTACTCACAGGCAGTATTTAAAAGGTACTTTTCAGCAGTACTCACAGGCAGTATTTAAACAGTACTTTTCTGCAGTACTCACAGGCAGTATTTAAACAGTACTTTTCTGCAGTACTCACAGGCAGTATTTAAACAGTACTTTTATGCAGTACTCACAGGCAGTATTTAAATAGTACTTTTCTGCAGTACTCACAGGCAGTATTTAAATAGTACTTTTCTGCAGTACTCACAGGCAGTATTTAAATAGTACTTTTCTGCAGTACTCACAGGCAGTATTTAAACAGTACTTTTCTGCAGTACTCACAGGCAGTATTTAAACAGTACTTTTCTGCAGTACTCACAGGCAGTATTTAAACAGTACTTTTCTGCAGTACTCACAGGCAGTATTTAAACAGTACTTTTCTGCAGTACTCACAGGCAGTATTTGAGCAGTACTTTTCTGCAGTACTCACAGGCAGTATGGAGACCTTGGGGAAGTTGTGCAGCGTCTCCCACTCCCTCTTGAGGTACTCCAGGGAGCCCACAAACACGATGTGCTTCAGTTCGTGGTAGTGGAAGTTACTCGCCCTCAGCGGCATCACGAAGTTCCTGACTCCGATCAGAGCCGACTTGGCGTCTCCGAAAATACAAACGACCACGTGACCGCTCAGGACCGTCATCGCCGCCTCGCTACGGGTCTGAAGAGGGAGAGACACCAACAGGACATTTTAACACGTCTTATCTCAGTATTTTTCTTTTATAATTCACTTTTACCCATGCTGAAGTTACCGTGTGAACAATGACAGGGCAGTTTCTGATTAAAAAAACAACTCTAACTTCTTAGGTTCTTTTTAAAGACAATGCAGTAAAGTGTGTATTTACCTTGTTGACATGTTTCGGCTGCTGTATCTTCAGAACTGTCCCCGGTGTTGGTGGTGACGTGTCGTATATCAGCTGTTGTTACTTCCTGTAGGCGTGGTCAGATCTGATGGACCTGGCAGGTCGCTCAGACTGACCACGCCTCCCGTCGCCCGGTGTCTCTGGAGGAGGGTGTCCCAGGTGTGTGAAAGGAGGAACGCTCCGTCATCACGGTTAATGCTGTCCGTGCCTCGTTTCCTGATTTCACCGTCCTCCTTGATCCAGCGTTTGAACTTGTTGTTTTCCGATCCAATGACCCGAGCCCCGTCCCGATCCATAATGTGGTTGTTCCTTTTACAGTGTCTGATATGGCGGATTTTAGGTTTTCCTGCTCTGCTTTGTCTTTTTGTGTTCTGGTGAGTCTCCCTGACGTTTCCTTTTCGCATTCCTTTTGGTGTTTCCTTTTTTCACATTATGGATCGGGACGGGGCTCGGGTCATTGGATCGGAAAACAACAAGTTCAAACGCTGGATCAAGGAGGACGTTGAAATCAGGAAACGAGGCACGGACAGCGTTAACCGTGATGATGGAGCGTTCCTCCTTTCACACACCTGGGACACCCTCCTCCAGAGACACCGGGCGACGGGAGGCGTGGTCAGTCTGAGCGACCTGCCAGGTCCATCAGGTCTGACCACGCCTACAGGAAGTAACAACAGCTGATATACGACACGTCACCACCAACACCGGGGACAGTTCTGAAGATGACTTGCAGCTAGCAGCCGAAACATGTCAACAAGGTAAATACACTTTACTGCATTGTCTTTAAAAAGAACCTAAGAAGTTAAAGTATATAAGAAGACATAATGAACATCATTGGCCTAAAAAAACAACTCGTCTAAAGGTGCGTCGGGTATGGAGCAAATGAATAATGTTCTGTAAAGCTTCTTTGTGACATGTCTGTGAAAAGTGCTATATAAATAAAAACTTACTTATTTACTTATTTTGTAACATTTCTAATAGATGGTCCACCACCTGCTTGTCACTATGAAGATGTTTGAAGATGTTATTGCTTTGTCTAGAACACAGGTGTCAAACATAAGGCCCGGGGGCCAGATCCGGCCCTCCAAGACTTTTAATGTGGCCCTTGGGTGATTTTCTACTAAAATATTTTTATTATATTTTCTATTAAAATCTTGTTAATTTTCTGTGGTGTTTATCACAGCAGCGTCTCCAGCGTCTCTGTACGTGGCCCCTCCCACCAGAGCAGCACAAATGAAGACTTGTCTCTTTCCAAACGCTCTTAAAGGACGATCGTTTTGACTGTTGACCATGACACCCTCATCAGAAAAATGTCCAACATGAGAAAAGTGGAGCCGAGTGCAGGATTTTACAAGAAAAATTGACTTATTCCTGTTTACACACAAGTTGATGTTAAAACTAATTTTTCTTAAAGTTTCAGGTTGTTCATAATATTATAAACTTATAATAAGAAATAGATTTGCATTTCTCTGCACAAATATTTGAACTTATTGTTATTTTTGGGGTTTATATGACACGAGTTTTCTGATCCGGCCCCTTTGGGATCAAAGTAGGTTGGATACGGCCCCCGGACCAAAATGAGTTTGACACCCCTGGTCTAGAATGTTCCAAAGTAGATTAAAGATATTTAGATGAAGTGAGACAACTATAGGTTACATTAAAGGTCAGATCTGTGGAGAGTCGCTCCTATTCACAGAGAGAATTACTGTATTTGAGCAGTAGAAACATCTGTAGAGAATAAATGCCAGATGTTAGGGGTGTAACGGTACATGTACTCGTGCCATTACACTCCTTCGTTCCGTACTGTTTCCGTTAGGTGCAGGGATGTGCACGAGTGAATTTGTGCAATTTGTGTGTGTTTAGAATCTGGCAATACATGAGCAGCTACACAGAGGCTCAGCTCTTTAATTTTCAGGAGGAAACTCGTCCTGGGGTGTTAGTGTTTCCCGCAGCGCTTTATAGTTAGGGCGGCCGCCTTGACAACAATTACCCCCCACCTTGTATATAAAATGTTAAATATTTTATTTAACTAATTATTTGTATAATGTTAAAATAAATTGTTGGTTTAATAAACAAATAAACAACAAGCAAATGGTTTTGCATTTGTCTTATTTCACACCTGTCTCTTGCTATCTTTTTTGCAACTTATTTATTTACATTTTTTACTCTTTGTTATTATATTATATTGTGATGTGTGAGCTACTGTGTCCAAATAATTTCCCTTGTGGATAAAAAAAGTCTGTCTAAGTCTAAAGTCTAAAGTCTAAAAGTCTAACTCACAGTTACCGCTGCAGACTGAGCACATCCCACAGGATCTTCATTTGCTTGTGCAGTGTTTTTACATTTTGTTCCCACACTGTACCCGAAAATGAACCGAACCCTGACCTCAAAACTGAGCTGATTTTTGTGCACCGTTACACCCCCACTAGATGTATAGGTTTAACGTCATACCATGGAACATTCCAGTCAAAGCTATCACATCTCCATAGAGACAAGACTAAACCTGGACTAAAACAGGATCAAACCAGGTCTACATCAGGACAAAACCGGGGTCAGTCCAAGACCAAACCAAGTGACCAAGTAACCCGCATTTGAGACTTTTATTGTTGCGGGTCAATTCCGTTTCACCCCGATCTCCCCCACTTCCTTTAAAGGTTGTATGGAGGATTTTTTTTTTAGTTTCAAATTGTCAGTGAAAGTTTAAAATACCATTACCGAGATGCAGCAGCTTCGTAATTATGATGACAAAAAAAAAAAAGAATGAAAATCCACCAACTGTGGACGTGTTGAGGCCAGATAAACATCAGCCAACTGAAAACGAGGCTCCCTCTTTTTCTATTCTTTTATTGGCTGTTAGGTCGTCAATCAAACTCCCTACGTTTCTAGCGTTAGCGTAACTGCGTAACTGACTCGTTGTCGCGCAGGGATTTCGTGGTGTATGGGGCGGTTCTTAGAGGCTTTTTCAAACTGTAGCTTCGTCGCAATTCGCACAGAGTTTGTCGCGACGGTGGACGAGAATCCACGACCGGTTCGCCGCCAAAGAAAGTCAGTTTTTTGAGGTCGCTGAAAGAAGAAGAGAAGGAGAAAAGGAGCGAAGACAAACTGAGGTGATTCTTGGAGATTCCTTCCAGCGATGGCGCAACTGAAGCAGACAAAGGGTCTAAAAACTGAAGACGCGTCGGGTCGCTAAATTATTTCTAGACAGGAAACTTCAACGGTAATTCTGAACTGGCTGTAAACAAACGTGATTTCTAGAGTAAAGAGACGGGACGAGATGTTTCTACTGAGGAGCTGTGGAGGAGGAAGGTGGTGTCACACATGCACAACATTTGAAAAATTATTTCTCTTCCCTTAAAATATCCTCTATACAACCTTTAAGTTGCGGGGTCACAGTGTCACTTCCTCCTCCTCCGCTCCGCTGTGGCTGTGGTCTGGGCGCGTCGGCAAACAATTTCACTAAACTTGTTAACTACGAATAGTACAACATCCACAATTAGAGCCTCCATATAGATTGTGCGCACCTGGTCGTGTATGGAGAGGAGATCGCAACGCGAAATTCGAAGGTCAGGTTTTTTCTATGGACTGGTTGAACTCCAGCTTTGCAGAAACACTCGACTCACTAGGAAATGAACGATGGCGAGCTTACCCAAAAACCTGAATTTAAAGGTTGTATAGAGGATTTCCCAAGGAACGAGAAATCCAGCGACGGTTTGTCCTTTTTCAAATGTTGCGCATGCGTGAAACCACCCCCCCTCCCCTACAGCTCCTACGTAGAAACGCCTCCTTCCGCCTCCTCGTTACGCCAGAAACAGGTTTGTTTACAGCCGGTGCTGCACATGACTTGTAAAACAACTAACTACAGTGTTGGTTAGGCAAGACGGAGAAGTGAGGAGCGGGGAGGGTGCGGACATTTCGTGCGGCGGACAAAGAGAGTGAGAAGCAGGGAGAAGAACGGAGCAGGGAGAGGAAGAGGAGGAGAGAGGGAGAGGAGAGGGAGGGAGGGAGAGGAGGAGCAGGGAAAGGAGGAGAGAGAGAGGGGCGCAGAGATTCCGTGTGAATGAATAGCTACTACTACAACACGCAGCAGCAAGCGGACTCTTTCTTTGCCTTGAAAATTAAGTTTTCAGACATAGGATATCGCATTCGTGTCCTGAAAAACGTTTGTCTCGCTCTTGGAAATAAAGTACGTTTTCCATAATAAGCAGAAGTTTCCTGTCCAGGAGTAAATTTGTGGACCAGTGCGTCAGTCTTTAGACCCTTGCGTCTGCTTCAGTCGCGCCATCGCTGGAATGAATCTCAAGAATCACCTTAGTTTGGTTTCGCTGCTTTTCCCCTTGTCTTCTTCTTTTCAGCGTGACCTCAAAAACGGACTTTCTTTTGCGGCGAACTGCTCCTGGATTCTTGTCGCCATTGCAACAAACTTTGTGCGAACTGCGAAGAGTAAACAGAGTCGTACGTGTAAACACGTCAGGCAAGTCTATAGAAACATTCACAGCTATCACCAGGCGTTATCAGAATGTTTGCCCAACGTCCTGCATTTATCTATTAATACTGACAATTTGAAAACAAAAAAAAACAAAAAAAAATCCTCCATACAACCTTTAATTTAACCTGAATCAAATAACTGGACTGTTTTTTTTTTATTTTGTTTGTTATTCTTGTACTCTGTAAAAAAATTATTTTCAATATACTTCACCCAACTTCATATTTATGACTTGTGTCTCTTCATTCACACTCCTCAAAGAACATTCTTCTGATGCTGCTTTTGTGGCCGTAGTCTGCCCCTAACCCTAACACATTTGCGTTACACAAGACAAGTGTAAATGTGTTTTACAAACGAACTACAGAACGTCTAGCCTAATATTTTGAACACTTCTGTATTTTTACTAAAGACGTTTGCACCTTCAGATGGACTCAGTTTTAAAGGATGAATGTTCCGCAGTATATCATTAAACTGGAGACAAGCATGAGACACGTCCTGACCGATTTACCGATCATATCTGTGGAAAGGCGAGCCCAATCACGGCAGAACATGTTTTCGAAGGTATTTTTGAGCACTAAAACCACACATAGTTGAATATTACATGCGTTTAATACAGTACTGTGACCTTCAGTCCTTATATAACTACATCATTTCTCTTTAATATGCATTTTGACATTTGGCACGTTTTCAAACAGTGCAACAAATAACATCAGTGTTGCTTTGAATTCACGTTCCGCCCACGCTCCTGTCTTCCTCACGTCTTCCTCTCGTCTCGTATGATTTCAGTGTGACAGTTTCCGTTTATCTGAAGTCCCATTTGTCTTACGTTTGAGGTGATATGCAGAAGTGTCAAAGAGCAGAGACACGGAGACAGACGTGTGACGGGAGCAGGGGGTGAGTGACAGATGACAGACGAGTTATGTGTGTGTGTGTGTGTGTGTGTGTGTGTGTGTGTGTGTGTGTGTGTGTGTGTGTGTGTGGAGTCCAGAAACAGCCAATCCACGAGCTGATGTAGAACGCAGAGGACGTACGGAGCAAAACATTAGATTGGGTTCGACCAGGTTTAGTCCTACGTTAGACCTGATATAGTTCTAGTTTAGTCCTGATTTATTCCTGGTCCGTGTACCATTCGTTCTTTTGAATTTCTATTAAGAACAGAACTGTTATTTCATTATTCCATTTTAGTGTCAAATAAAAACAGATTTTGACCTCTATTTCTAATATTTAATTTGATGTTTATTTTGACACCTGTCTCTTACTGTCTTTTTTGCTACTTAATTAGAATTTATTACTATTTAGAATTTATTATTACCATTTATATTTTTTACTGTTATTATATTATATTGTGATGTGCGAGCTCCTGTGTCCAAATAATTCGCCTTGTGGATCAACAAAGTTTGTCTAAGGTTACGTTTACACTGAAACAAATCACCATATCTCCGTATCGAAAACGTTTTGCATCCAGACACGTCGTTTCTGTGTCCATTCCCTATCCACACAGTAATGCAAAACCACTTGAAACACTAATCATCTGGGCGGTAAAAACAAGGAAGTGGAGCAACATGTCTGAAGTTGCAGCTTTTCAAGCTGAGGAAGATGACAAGCGTGAAAGTAAAAAGTAGTTCTCACTATGCTGTTTCCCGTTTGTCTGTGGTTTGTTTAAACTTTTTTTCGCAATAGCGTGGTCCAATAAGGGCGCGACTAGAGCTCCTACGTCAGTGTATCAGTGTTTTCAGGCGTCCACACAGTGCCGGATCAGAGCTGTTCTCAGATGAATTTGTGGGAGCTGGAGGCACCAGATCGTTCTGTCTGTGGAGCTGTTTTCCACCAAATTAATGTGGACGAACACTGCATCCACAATGAAAACGACTGTGGAGGGGGCCTAGGTCTAAGTCTAATGTTTATTTCAAATAAACACAAATCAAAAAACAGTCACCTTGACTATTTCAAACTGTTTTCCCATTTTATAGTTTTTTGTTCATAACTGAAATTCAAACGAATGAATGGTACACCGATCATTAAGTTCTGGTTTAGACCTGGTTAAGTCCTGGTTTAGACTTGGTTTAGTTCTGGTTGAGAAGATCCTGTGCTATGTCTCCAGTCTGCAGAGGTAACTGTGAGCTAGACCGGGTTTAGTCCTGGTTTAGGCCTAATATTTTCGATTTTCTCAGCCCCAGCTCAAACTGTATGACCAAATCGCAGGGTTTAAAAGTTCACAGCTCACGATTCATGTTCTCACACTAACGAACGATTTCAACAGAGCCAAACCCTCACAAGAGATTTCAAACAGGCTTGATATTCTTGCGACCTATGATTGGCGATCAGGAGCTGGTCATGGGGTATTAATCTGATCTCGTTACCCCATGTTTACTACACAACACACGATTAAGCCAAAAATCGACTCGATCCCAAAAAATTAGTGAAAAATCATCTCAAAAAGGACAAAAAATGGCACAGGATACACCCAGCTTAAGTCAGATCAAGTGATAAATCTATTAGTCTTCTTTTATCTATTCCTTTTTTCAATCTTTGTTTTAACAGTTACATTATAATAAAACTTTAAGCTGTGCATTTAATGTTGTATTATTATAAATATGGCTAATATTATTAATATTATTAAAGCTGTGGTAACTTTTTAACCAAAAATATAGGCTAAAATATAATCATTGTGGTTGTGCTTATTCCACTGAAAAATGTGCGTCTTTACTCCTTACTGGGCTTGCCTCTCCACAAACCTGACTCTTATTTGACTCTTTGTTTACTTCTATATCCATGGAATCAAAAATCAGTCTGTACCTTTAAAGTAAAGAAAAATCAAGTATTTACAACATTAAAAGTTGTAGCAGGACTCACCAGAATGACCTTCTCGATGTCTTTCGACGGAGCCCAGTGGAACATTCCCGTCGAGTCGTACTTCTTGACGTTTTCGTCCATGCTCTCGATGGGCTCGCTCCCGGGGATCAGCAGAGGGTCGTGTCTGGAGAAGGAAACACACACATACAAACGTTTACAGTGACGGTTTACTTTAACATTCATTTTATATTTAGTCTGCATCTATCCATTTGTCTTCTGGCGCTCGACAATGAATGAAATCTTTGACTCTGAAGGAATCCGTTTGTGTAGATCTGGTAAGGACAATTAAAGCATAAATAATAATTTATATAATTTTTTAAGATATGGAGGATGTTTTTTTTGTTTCAAATTGTCAGTGAAAGTTCAAAATAGCATTAAAGAGATGCAGCGGTCTTGTAATTATGAAAGAAAAGAATGAAACTCCATCAGGTGTGGATGCGGCTAAACTTTGTAAATCAAACTCCCTACGTTTCTATCGTAACTGATTCGCCATCGCGCTGGGATTACGTTGTTTACGCCTCTCACACATTTCAAAAACACATTTCAATGAAAAACAGTAATTGAAGCAGCAATAAAAGGATCCATAAGTCGCCTCATTTCTTTTTCTTTTCAACCTTCAATTGAACCAGAAATATTGGAAAAATAGTCAAAAAAATAATGACAAAAACACTGGAAATTATAGAAAACATGTCTTAACATTTCAATATTTCTAATGAGATCGGTGGGACTGTCTGCAGATCAGGAGAATCTCTTGCGATCCACCGAAGGGTCGTGACCCAGTCTTTGGACCAAAGACTTAGCCTGATTCATGAGCCGGTTTTACTTCGTTTCGTTGCTCGACAGTAGGCGGGTACTTTTTATCATCTAACCAATCACTGCTATTTGGTCGTGACGTATGTAATGCTCCGCTAATGTGACTAACAGGTATATTAAGCTTTTCCCGAATCCCATGGGACGAAGGGCAATAACGTCTTTCTTCTCGATGAAATTCACCAAACATTCTCTTTATTCCGGCTTTAAATCCTTGATCTCGGGAATCGTTGCCAACACAGAATATATGGCTCTTCGCTGATTGGCTGGTGCCCGAACTCACACTTCTGGGGTTTTTGCGAACCGTCTAGTGCAGGGGTCTCAGACTCGCAGCCCGGGGGCCAACTGCAGCCCTCAGAAGGAATTTTTGAGGCCCTCCACTTAATTCCAAAGAATAATGTCAGTGCGGCCCGCGGTAGACGTAAGCACAATCCCACTCCCCGACCGTGGGCCGCACTGACAGAAGAAGCTGCAGGTGCCCATGCAGATTCACAACAACAGATTTCAGAATAAAACATTGTTCATTCTCTGATAAAAATAGTATAATGTATAACACAAGTTATTTAATATATCACATATGTGTGTGAAAAGCTCTTCTCCACCATGACATTTAATAAGTCAAACTACAGGTCAAGGCTCACTGATGAGCATCTTCAATCTATCCTGAGGATCTCATGTGCTTCCTCCTGCAAGACAAATATCTCTCAGCTGTACAAGATGAAGTGTGGCCAAGTTTCAACCAGCAAGAAGTCGGCAAAAGAAGAAGAGTAGACGTATTAATTTAAACTTACGTTCTGAATACATTTTCATGTTCTGAACTGTTATTAAAGATTAAGAAAGTGTGTTGCGTATTGTTCTTTCTCTCTCTTTTATTTCGTTCAACCACTATTTATCGAATACTCAGTGCGGCCCAGCCTCACTCAGACTTTATCTGATGTGGCCCCCAGGTGATTTGAGTTTGAGACCCCTGGTCTAGTGTGTTCTGATTCCTGACCTAGTCGCTGGAGAGAAATGAAATTGAGCGGAGGCACGAGGTAAAGACTGACACACTGGTTGCTAAATTACTTCTGGACAGGAAACTTCAACAGTAATTCTGCGCAGTGGATGTAAACGAGCGTGATTTTAAGAAGAGGCAGGAAGAGGCGTTTCTACTTAAGGAGCTGTGAAGGAGGAGGTAGAGTCACACATGCGCAACATTTGAAAAAGAACAAACAGTCGCTGTATTTCACTTTACCTGGAAAACCTTCTATTCCAATGATTCTTAACCACAGGGCCGGGACCACCTCCTTGGGGGCCCCACAATCAGTACAATATAATACATTTAATATGAAACAGGGCCCCACGTTTCTTTGTTCAGAATAAGTTAGACCCCGAGACTAAAAAGGTTAAGAACTCCTGCTCTATAACCTTTAAAATCTCACTACAGCAGAACAGTAACAGATCTACTGTATTCAGCCCGTTCTCTTCTTCCTCTCCTCCTCCTCTTCCTCTTCGTTCTCTCTTTCTGTCAGGATTCATTCGTCTCTGTGTCTCACTCTGAGTCTGTCACTGTGGTTTTAGCTCCAGACGAGTGGACCAGATCTGACCTGCGCCAAACACCAACACACAACATGTTCTCTCCGTTTCTCTCCCTCTCTCCTCCCTTTATCCTCCCCTTTCAGAAGAAATCCCCCATCTCTTCCTTTCTCTTCCTTTCTTTTCTGTTTCCTTCTCCCTCCCTTAGTCCTTTCCTCTTTCTCTCTCTCCTCCCTTCTCTTCATACTCTCTTTCTCACCTTCTTCCTCCTTCTCTCCCTCCCGCTCTCCTCTCTCTTCCCCTCTCCTTCCTTTACTCTCTCTCTCTCTCTCTCCTCTCTCCTCCTTTCTCTTATCCATCTACTCCCTTCTTCCTCCTCTATCTCGCTCCCTTATGCCACCTCTCTCTACTTCTCTGTCCTTCCTTCTCCTCCTGCTCTCTCTCCTTCTCTTTCTCTACTTTCATTCCCCCTTGTCTCCCTCCATTATGCCCTCCATCTTTCTCTCTCTCTCTCTGTCCTTCCCCTCCTTCTCCTTTATATCCCCTTCTCTCTTCCCCTCTCCTTCCTTCTCTCTCTTTTTCTCTCCCTCTCTCTTTCCTCTCCTCTCATCCTCCTCTCCCTCCTTCTCCTTCCTTCTCGTCTCCATCCACCCCCTCCTTCCTCCTCTATCTCACTCCTTAACTCCTCCTCTCTCTCCTTCTCTTTCCCTCCTCTCTCTTTCTCTCCTTTCTTCCTCCTTCTTCCCTCTTTCGCTCTTCCTCCCTCCCTCTCCTCCCTTCTCTTCTCCGTCTACTCCCTCCTTCCTCTTCTACCTCACTCCCTTACTCCATCTCTCTCTCCTTCTCTTTCCCGTTTCTCTTTCTCACCCTTTTTCCTCCTTCTCTCTTCCCCTCTCCTTCCTTTACTCCCCCTCTCTCTCTCTTTCTCTCCTCCCGTTCCTCGCTCCCTCTCCCTCCTCGTCTCCATCTACTCCCTTCTTCCTCCTCCATCTCACTCCCTAACTCCTCCTCTCTCTATTTCTCTTTCTCTCCTCCCTTCTCTTCTCCATCTCCTCCCTCCTTTCTCCTCCATCTCATTCCTTTACTCCTCCTCTCTCTACTTCTCTCTGTCCCCCCTCCATCTCTCTCTCTCCTTCTCTTTCCCTTCTGTCTCTCTCTCTCTCTCCTTTCTTCCCCCATGTCTCCCTCCATTATGCCCTCCATCTTTCTCTCCCTCTCCTTTATCTCCCCTTCTCTCTTTGTCTTCTCTCTCTTCCCCTCTCCTTCCTTCTCTCTCTCTCTCTCTCTCTCTCTTTCTCTCCTCTCATCCTCCTCTCCCTCCTTCCCTCTCTCCTTCTCTTTCCTTCTCTCTCTTTCTCTCCTTTCTTTCTCCTTCTCTCCCTCCATTATGCCCTTCTTCTTTTTCTCTCTCGTTTTCCCTCCCTCTCCTTTTCTCTCTCCCTCTCCTTCCTTCTCTTTCCCTCTTTCTCCCTCTCCTCTCTTCCTCCCTCCCTCTCCTCTTCTCTTCTCCGTCTACTCCCTCCTTCCTCTTCTATCTCACTCCCTTACTCCATCTCTCTCTCCTTCTCTTTCCCGTTTCTCTTTCTCACCCTTTTTCCTCCTTCTCTCTTCCCCTCTCCTTCCTTTACTCCCCCTCTCTCTCTCTCTCTCTTTCTCTCCTCCCGTTCCTCGCTCCCTCTCCCTCCTCGTCTCCATCTACTCCCTTCTTCCTCCTCCATCTCACTCCCTAACTCCTCCTCTCTCTATTTCTCTTTCTCTCCTCCCTTCTCTTCTCCATCTCCTCCCTCCTTTCTCCTCCATCTCATTTCCTTTACTCCTCCTCTCTCTACTTCTCTCTGTCCCCCTCCATCTCTCTCTCTCCTTCTCTTTCCCTTCTGTCTCTCTCTCTCTCTCCTTTCTTCCCCCATGTCTCCCTCCATTATGCCTCCATCCTTTCTCTCTCCTCTCCTTTAAATCTCCTCTCTTCTGTCTTCTCTCTCTTCCTCTCTCCTTCCTTCTCCTTCTCTCTCTCTCTTTCTCTCTCTCATCCTCCTCTCCCTCCTTCCCTCTCTCCTTCTCTTTCCCTCTCTCTCTTTCTCTTTCTCTTTCTCCTTCTCTCCCTCCATTATGCCCTTCTTCTTTTTCTCTCTCTATCGTTTCCCTCCCTCTCCTTTAATCTCCCTCTCCTCTCTCCTCTCCTCTCTCCCTCTCCTTCCTCTCTTCCCTTTCTCCCTCCCTCTCCTCCTCTCTTCTCCATTCTACTCCCTCCTTCCTCTTCTATCTCACTCCCTTACTCCATCTCTCTCTCCTCCTCTTTCCCGTTTCTCTTTCTCACCCTTTTTCCTCCTTCTCTCTTCCCCTCTCCTTCCTTTACTCCCTCTCTCTCTCTCTCTCTTTCTCTCCTCCCGTTCCTCGCTCCCTCTCCCTCCTCGTCTCCATCTACTCCCTTCTTCCTCCTCCATCTCACTCCCTAACTCCTCCTCTCTCTATTTCTCTTTCTCTCCTCCCTTCTCTTCTCCATCTCCTCCCTCCTTTCTCCTCCATCTCATTCCTTTACTCCTCCTCTCTCTCTCTACTTCTCTCTGTCCCCCTCCATCTCTCTCTCTCCTTCTCTTTCCCTTCTGTCTCTCTCTCTCTCTCTCCTTTCTTCCCCCATGTCTCCCTCCATTATGCCCTTCCTATCTTTCTCTCCTCTCCCTCCTCCCTCCTTTCTCTTTCTCTCCCTTCTCCTCCTTTCTCTCTCTCTTCTCCCTCTCTCCCTCCTCCTTCTCTTCTCTCCCTCTCCCTTTCCTCTCCTCCCTCTCCTTCCCTTCTCTTCCC